TACTCGTTTGAGTGCTTTCGAGTGTACTTTAGATGGTGAGTGCATAAATTATGACAATTTGTTCACAGAGAAACTTATGTCTGGAAGAGTGAACGACAAGTACTGTAGTTTTGCAAGAACTCTCCTGTAGCGAGTAGCATCAGTTGGTTCCACTCCATCATTTTGTTTAAGCACTTCACTGGAACTCATTGGAGTTTTTGCGGAATTGCAGTCTTTCATATTTACTTCAGAGAGGATTTCACTGATGTAATTGGACTGTGATAAAGTAATTCCATGTACAACACGAGGCACCTCAACTCCAAGAAAAAAAGTTAAGGTTTCCGAGATCCTTAATGGAAAAACAGTCAGCAAGACAATAGATTGCATGATTTACATATGAGCTATGGATCCCGGTGATGATGATGCCGTCGACATAAACCAGCACATACAACACATTGTTCGACGCTTTGCGAATGAAAAGCAATGCATTAGATTCGGACTTGGCAAATCCCAAATAGAGAAGGAACATCTTAAGTTCATTGCACCAGGCCCGAGGAGCTTGCTTTGAGTCTGTATATAGCTTTCTTTAGGCGACATATATGTGAGGGGAACTGATCGTCTTTAAAATTCGGAGGTTGTACCATGTGGACTTCTTTTTCTAGATGACCCTGCAAGAATGCGTTGTTGACGTCAAGCTGACGTATGAGCCAATTATGTTGGACAGCAATCGAAATCACCAAGCGCACAGTAGTCGGTTTGACAACCGGACTAAATGTGGCATGAAAGTCAATTCCAGGGCATTGTGTAAACCCTTTTGCAATAAAACGAGCCTTATAGCGATCGATTGTCCCATAGGCTTTTTTCTTTAACATGTATAACCACTTTCAAGAAACAATATTTTTTGTTGGGTCATGTGGTACCATTCCCATGTCTGATTATTCAATAATGCATCCAATTCACTATTCATTGCTCTCTGCCAATCTGGGTGTTTGTTAGCTTGTTTAAAACTTATAGGGGTGATGGTGGGGGATAAGTGAGCCATGAAATCAAGGATTGTTTTTGGTTTGTGAATGTTGTTCTGTGAACGAGTCACAACACGAATTAGATGAGGGAGAGACAGTTGTTGTGGTTATGTAACTGGAAGGGGTTCGGGGGAAGGTTGTGAGGGTTGTGGAGTTGAGGCAGTGGTACAAGCAATAGTAGTTTGGTCAATTGATGTCATTTTTGTCGTTATGCGACTGCATACAATTGGAAAAAATGTGATTGAGGCTGTGGGACTAAGGTGAATGGTTGTTGAGAATATATAGGTATTGAGGAAGGGAGTGGTGATAATTTACGTAGTGATTGTGGAGCAAATGAGACATTTGAATTTCTTATAATAATTGTTGGGGATGGCAACAGGGTATAGGATTGGGTATCATTAAGATCAGGAGGAACAACAGAATTTGTAGGAGGAGAAGTAGAAGACATACCTGTAGTTGCAGATTCTGTTGGAGCACAGGAAGAGGAGACGGTATTTTTTCTTTGAGTGTTGGTTTTTGTATTTGGGATAAGTATAGGGTTGGCAACTGTGATGTACGATTAAATTGGATGGCCATTGAACCACTATTGTTATCAGCATTAACAATTCCAGTAGTGTTGGCCATTTATGGAAGGTGGGTGGGAGAGAAAAAGGGTAGTATCTTACTCGTTAGAGTTTGTTGAGGCTCTGATACCATAAAATAACAAGAGAAGCACAAAAAGCTGATATATTTATTGAATCAAAGCAACCTTTAAATACAAGAGTGAAAAACTAATTCCCTAAACTAACTCCTCTGGAAAAGAAAGACTAAACTACTTGCTGAACAAACTCCTTGAATAAGGAGATTTATTAGAGAAAATAAAGGACTAACAAAATCCTAACTACTAGCTAAAGAATCGGTCAAAGCAGTAAAGTAGTAGGTGATTAACTTTTTTTTTAAAACTCAAGTCACGATTTTATTACCATTCCAATGCAAAAGATACAATTTGAAGAAGGAGGGTATAGCATGGCCTTCTATATTGATTGAGGATTTGACACAACAAATTCATACAATAAGTACGGAATTGATGGGATTATCTCCACACCAACATGTCAATTGGTAATGAAGTTGAGAACTCATGGTGGTTCATACACTATGGTACTTGGTCTTCTCTTCTTGACTCGGAATGCTGAAATTTGCCATCTATCTATATTTAGAAGCCCTTTGACCTGTCGTGGCAATGTATCAAAATAAGTGAAAATATACACTTCCTCTAATTGGTGACTTAGAGAAGCCATCTTGTCCGTAACTTGATTTGCTTCTCTAAAATAATGTCTAATGATTAGATCCTTTTGTTCAACTAGCATTTTTACCTCCATAACAGCATTGTTGATTCTCCATGGTGTGGAACATATGCCTTGAATGCAGTTGTGAAGTAGCAAGGAATCAGTTTCACCAATAATCAGTCCATATCCTTATTGAACGCACCATTTTAGGCCAAAAAGAAGGGCCTATGCTTCTGCTAAGTTACTTGTCCCTTGACCCATTAGTATAGCATAAGCCGTAAGTATTTTACCACAACTGTCTCTAACCACCCCACCACCTCCACAATTTCCATTAACACAACTACCATCACGGTTTAACTTAACAAAGAGCAAAGGTGGTTTAAGCCACTTAACCTCAGTTATGCATCTGTCAACCAGAGAGTAGTCAAAGAGTTTACATATATCTTCCCAATTATTGTTAACAGTTAGTTTCCCAAAATGAGAGTTAACTAAATGGGCAATGTTAAAAGTGATAAGGCACTTGGATCTTGCCACTGATGGCCTCTTCATTTCGTATTTACTACAACACCTTGACCTCCACAACTCCCATACAACAATAGGAGGCATAATCTGGAAAACAAATGCACCAATAGAGTTTATGTATTTATGATTTCAATAGTTAGCAAACAGAGTTCTTAAGGGGATGTTCATATGAGCTATTCCAACCATTCCAGCAAAAATCGCCCACACTTGTTGTGCAAACTGCCCCTGACAAAATAAGTGTTCACACGTTTCCTCGCCTGGGATCATTCCGGGAGAAAGGCAACAACAACATTTAGAGGCTAAGAAAATCCCAAACCTCGTGATCCTTTCATTTGTTGCGATTTTTCCATGGGTAGCTCTCCAAGCCAAGAAAGACATCTTAAATGGGATATCTTTATGCTATAACTTAGAGTCAAACGGAGCAGGATCCTTTCTTTGTCTTAATGCATTCCAAGCAGAGGCCACACTGAATTTTCCTGAAGTAGTAATTATCCAGATTGGAGTATCATCCTCTTCTTGGCCAATTGTGATCTGAATAGAGGCTACCAAAGTTTTAACAACTTCAGGTGGCGAAATATGTAAGCAAAATCAGTCCCATACTCCATCCCTATATACTTCATTAACCTTGGTATTGTCATACCCGACATCTTCGCCTAAGCTGGAAGACAAAGGACCAAAATTGATCCAATTATCATACCAAAAGCTGCTATTACCTCTCCCAACTCTCCATAAGATGTTCTGCTCTACTTCATATTTCAATTTGCACATAGCCTGCCAATTATGGGTTTTGCCGGCTGTCCATTGACTAATCAGTGGATGATAGATTCTACAATATTTGGCTTTGACAAATTGAGACCATAAGGAGTTTGTAGTTCTCAACCTCCACCATTGTTTTGTTGTGAAGGATTTGCAGACATCCTTCAACTTTCTAAAATTAGCCCCTCCCTTTTCATATGGAAAACAAAGTTTGGACCATACGGACCAATGGTATCTGTCGCTAGTCTCTTGCCCAGACCAAAAGAAACTAGCTAAGTACCTCTCAATTGTAGCGATAGTACCCTTGGTTGGATGAACTGCAGCCAATGTATGGACATTCAGGGCTAATAGAACATGTTTGATAAGAACTGCACTGCCTCCAGAAGAAAGTAGCTTTAAATTCCATCCTTTGATCTTGTTAATCACCTTGCTAACCATCCCTGCAAAGGTAGACAACTTTTTTCTACCAGAATATATAGGACAACCGAGGTAATTGATAGGAAGGGGTTCATGTCTCATCTCTGTTATTTCCTCAATCCTGTGAATGGATCTTTGTGTTGCAGAAGAAGCCACTGAGAAACTGCATTTAGATTTATTGATCTTCTGCCCAGAAACTTGTTCATATGTTGCTAATATTGCTTGGATCAGCTGTAGAGTAGTTTTTCCACCATTACAAAATAAAATAATATCATCGGCAAAGGCGAGATAGTTGATTTGTGGACCATGACTACTCATATAGAAACCTCTGTACCCTCTGTGATTCTGGAGTTCATTCAATAATAGGGATAACAACTCAGCACTCAAAACAAAAAGAGATGGGGAGAGAGAATCGCCTTGTCTGAGCCCTCCCCCAGATTTAAAAAATCCGTGCCTAATCCCATTCACAATTACTGTGTACCAATTGTTTGAAATATATCTATGAATAATGTCAATCCAACTCTCAGCAAAACCCAATTTTCTCAGCATGAGGCAGAGAAAAGACTATGATACTCTATCATATGCTTTTGCCATGTCTAATTTCATAACCACATTGCTCCCCTCAATAGGTTTACCAATATCATTCACAATCTCTTGAGCCAACAAAATATTTTCATTTATGGCTCTACCTTTAACAAATCCACTCTGATTATATGAAATGATTCTAGGCAACAGGGTACTCAATCTAGCATTTAAGAGCTTAGAAATAATCCTACTAGACACATTGTACAAACTAATAGGCCTAATGTCTGAGAATGTTTGAGGGGATTCCACCTTTGGAAGCATTACTAGACATGTGTGAGTGAAAAATCTAGGTAACTGAGCTCCATCAAAAAAGGCTACTACGGCATTAAACACAATTTCAGCAATAATAGACCAGGCACTTTGGTAGAACCTGCCAGTAAGACCAGCATGTCCAAGTGCACTATCAACATCCAACATGAAGACACATGTTTTAAACTCCTCAGTGGTTGGTATTTCAGTGAGAAAAAGCATTATCCTCTTTAGTAACAGTTCTCTTCACCATATCCAGCATGGTAAGATCTTCAATGGTTATTTCAGCACCAAATAGTTGTTGAAAGAATCTTATTGTTGTCCCTACCACGCCTTTCATACCTTCCATAAGATTGTCATTATCATCTCTGATCCTTTGGATGTTTAATTTCTTCTTTCTATCCTTGATTACAACATGAAAGAAAGTTGTGTTATCATCACCCTCTGTCAACCATTTAACTTTTTCCTTCTGCCTTAGAATTGAGTCTTGCAACTTCAAAAATCTGGTAAATTCCGCTCTTGCTTTAGATAAGTGCATTCTGCATTCAGGAGATGGATCAGAGATCACTGCCTCATCCAAACTTCTTATGAGAGATTTAAGCATCTTTGGTTCTTCATATATATCACCAAAAGCTTGTCTAGACCAAGCACTGAGAGTAGAGCACACTTTCTTAAGCTTCTGATGAAAAATATACAAAGGATTGCCAAAAACTTCTTCTGACCAGGCTTGTTGAATTTTCCCCAAGTACTCCTCATGTTCTACCCATATATTGAGAAATTTAAAATACTTTATAAAATCAGAGCTAGTGTTGACCGCAGATATTAGTAATGGAGCATGGTCAGAGCAAGACCTAGATAGATGGGTGATGACTGTGCTCCCAAATGAATCAAACCATTATGCATTGTATACCAGCCAGTCCAACCTCTCCCAAATAGTATTAGGAGGATCCCTGTTGTCACTCCAGGTGAACTGAGAGCCACAATATCTAGCATCCTGAAGTCCACAGTGAGACAAACAAGCCATAAAATCTAAACTGTCTTCAACTCTGAAAGGTCTTCCTCCTTTCTTCTCCTCCTCACATAAAACAACATTAAAGTCACCCACCACCCCCACATGGACCATTAACCAACTGGCTACATCTCTAATCTCCTCCCATAAGCGACATCTCAAAGTCTCATCACACTTTGCATAGACAGCAGAAATGTAAAAGGGTTGAGTACCTACAGAGTTAGAAATCGGCAAGAGAACGTATTGTTCTCTATCCTCCAGAATCTCTATCACATAGTCAGAGGACCAAAATATCCAAATCTTGTTGTCACAATTTGAAAAACAAGATTGATATCCCAGTATCCTTTTATATTTGTCAATCTTCCTGGCATTCACCATTGGCTCTTGTAGAATTACAAATGGTAATTTGTATTGTTGTATGAGAATTTTGAGTCTTTCACAAGCTCCTTGGGAGCCTATACCTCTAATATTCCATGAGATTGTACTAATCATGAGAAATATCACAGATTAGACCATTTGTCTCTAATTTGTTGTTTCTTTTGCCTCCTTTCAGGAACATTACAGCTCTCCTAACATTTGAGCTCATTACCTCTCTAGGAGACAGATTGTTGAAATAGATAACACTTTTGCGCACTTAGTTGGCATAATTACTATTATCTTCAAGTATTTGCTTGGCCCGTCTGTGTTGTTCATCATCTGATTTGGAGTTCTCCAATTCTTCTGAGAGAGCCTCCATATCAACATCATTAATATTCATGTTTAGATAGTTATCTCGGATATCTTCCTCACCATTGTTGGAACAAGGATTAGTGATACTGGTGATGCCCCCTCTAGGATCTGCATGTTCATCATTTTGAGTGAGTTGCTCATAGTCATCATTCTAAGAGTTAACCAAACATTGAACACTAGGAGCATCATGAAATGTTGGTTCACCACCTAAGGCTTCCTTCTCCTTCTCCTTCTCCTTCTCCTTAGCCTTCCTTGCAGCAATCCTAGCTGAAAGCTCAGGATCCAAGCCAAACATTTTACCTAGACTTACCATCCTGTAGTTATTTTCCTCCTCATCCATCCATCTAACCTCATCTGGGATGCTTATAGTGGTGGCAAAACGTTTCTTCTTCTTTCGAATCACACTCATCTCCTCCTAGTTGACTTGAAGCATAGATTCCTGCATAATTTGATAGTGGTCTTCTGTGGCAGGGAGAACAGTCTCCTTCCTTTGCTTCACATTCCCACCAGTTCTCTGAATCTCCTTGAATAAAGGCTTCACTGCTTTTTTTCTAGAGGTCCTTTCTTTGTCTAGTTGGTCGTCTTTCGAGGTTGTGAAGGCTTTTGTCCAGTTACCATGCTCCCATTAATTGTAACATACATGCTAATTTGCTGCCCACTATCATTGTGATTGACAGTAATGACATTTTGACCATTTTTCCTTCTAAAATATTGAGATCCTCCATTCAATTTAGAATTTTGGATCAAGTTGGATTCTTTTGCACTATTATTGGAGGCTTCATTCCTTCTGTTTTTTTAGTCTTTTACCTTTCTTCTTGCAACTTCCTTCCAACCTTCATCCCTAGTAATCTTTCCTCTGCCTTCTCCTATACTGACAGCTCGAATCTCCCGATTGGTTGGGTTCCCAGGTATAATTGGAGGCACTAGTTGGCTTTTTGGCGTATCCACCTGCATTGGTGTATGTTCCTTTTTTTTGTTGGATTTGATGGCCAGACCCTGAATCCCTAAATAGGTTCCTGTCTCCTTTTTAGGCTTATCCGAGGTTGCTGCTCCCTTCCTCAATTCAGGATGTTGGACCCTGTATCTATCATCACTATGACCCCGAACTTTACAATAAAAGCAATAAGCAGGAAAGGTCTCATACTCCACTTTCTGCACAATCGCTTCCAAGCTACCATCCTTCTTCCTTATTTCAACTAATACCTCGTTAATCATAGGCTTAGCTAGGTCAATCTCAACCCTAACTTTTACAGTAGTAGGCCTCGTCTTTGAGAGGGTGGCCTTATCCATGATTAGAGGCATTCCCACTGGTTCTAAAATCCTGTACAAAGCAACCCATTAATAGTAATGCCAAGGTAAATCTGGAAGGTTAATCCAGATAGGGGCAAAGGTTATTTCAACACCCGCTTTAAACTTCTTAGTGCATTTATGAATTTTCATTATATGATCCCCAAATTGCAAGAAAGGTCTGGCATATATATCCATATGATCATCCATGTTGTCAAAATCAATGAACACGTGTTGCATATCTTTAGCTCCAATACGAATTTTTCCTCTTCCAGGAAAGATCCTTGCAAACTCATCTCTAATGAATTCGATTGAAGGTCTTGTTCTGAGGAATTTACCAACAATGGTCCATTTGCATGTAGCAGCGAGAAGCTCGTCCTCTTCCTCTGTGAATACTACAACTGGTTTTCCTTGAACGAGCTCATATGGCCTCGGTATGAGTCGTATTTGACTTTGAGTCTCTGAAGGTCGGTTTCGAAGTGCATCTACATATGAGTCTTCTTGTTGAGTTACTAATTGAGAAGAACTAGAAGTAGAGGGAACTCCCGTTTGGATCTGTTCTAAGACTAACGGGTCATCCCTTTTTGCACCTTTATGCTGCAGATCTTGTGGCCCATGGTTCAGATCTCCCTGGGTTTGGGCTATTAATTTATTTTGTGGAATCTGATTGGGACCTAAGGGGGTTGGATTTGGCTGATTTGTTGTTGTATGAGTTGGAAAGTGGGAAATTTTGGTATGAAATGGGAGGCGGGGACCATCTCCCATGTTGTATCAGAAGCTAAGGTTAGGTGATTAACTTATGCTCTAATAGAAGGAGGAATACTACCTGAAAGATTGTTTCCTGACAAATCTATGACCTGAAGTTGTTGCAAATCATACCACGAATCAGGGATCTTTCCTGACAAATGATTGTCTAAAAGGTCCAATCTCAATAGTCGCTTCACTCTTGTTATGGAATATGGTATAAATCCTATAAAAGCATTCCCAGAAAGATCTAAAACTTGAAGTTTTGTCATAACATGACCAATGTTTAATAGTATAGATCCTGAAACAAGTTGTTTGCAAGATTCAAATGCGTTACATTTGGCCGACCATGGAAACTATTGGAACTAGGGGTGTTCATGGTTCGGTTTGGGTCGGTTTTTTCCTAAAAAGAAATAAAATCAAGTAAGTCGATTTTTCAAATATTGGAACCAAACCAATTAAGTCGGTTTTTTATTGATTCGGTTTTTGTCGGTTTTTTCGGTTATTTATCGATTTTTTCTTAAATATGAGACATACACTACCAAACACATATTGCGGCGACTACATTTTTAATGTAACGCTATCAAACCAATTATTCTTTGAGAAATCTATCATTTACCAAGATATATTGATGATAATTGACTCAAATAATGATGAAAAATTTAAGTACTCAATTAAAAATCGATTATTTTTAACGTGAAATAAATTCTTGTACTTAGCAAAAGAAAAATATCAATCAAACTAGAGGGCATAGAATTAGATTATTATAATAGCAAAGAACTAGACTAAAACTACAAATGACTAATATGTACCATAAAATTTTAGAAACTTTATATAAAAATATACATATATATAGGTGTGATAATAAATTTAAATAGCTTTTTTTATAGTCGGTTTGGTTCGGTTTTTTCGGTTATTTTTTTATTAAAACCAAAACCAAACCAAATTTGATCGGTTTTTAAAATTTAAAATTAAAATCAAACCAAACCTAAAAAGTATCGATTTTTTGATCGATTTGGTTCGATTTTCGGTTTTTCGGATTTTTATGAACAGCCCTAATTGGAACTTAAGTCCACCACGCATGACACCATATTGGTAACTAAAATAGAAGTCCGCTCTCCAGTTAATTTGGAATGATGGAAAATTGACTAATCTTGGAAGATTTCCACCTATCTTGTTATCTGATAGATCAAGAAATCGCAATTGTGAGCACAATGTCCAAATCCAAGGAGGTATAGGATCTGAAATGGAGTCACTAGAGATAATAATAGAGTGAAGTTGCTTTTGAGTTTTCAGCCATGTCGGTAACTTGGGGCCCAAACCGCATTTTCTAAGCTCAATATATGTGAGGCTAAATGGAGGAATCCATTCACTGCTCAATTGATGGAGTTTTGCAAAGTGACTTTGTAAAAGATTGCCTTCCAAAGCATTTGCTGCAAGGTCCAAATGAGTTAATTCAGAAAAACTAAAAATACTCTCAGGTAAGGCTCCCTTTCGTTGATTCTGTCCCAAGTCCAAGATTTCCAACCTTGACAGATGCTCAATAGTTGCTGGAATCGTGCCTGATATCGGGTTAAAAGAAATGATGTCCTAATGAATTTGGCAATTGCCCGTTGTATACGGTCAAAATAGATTTCGGTCTTCCTACGTTCGATCGAGTTCGAGTGTTAAAAAGTCAGAATGAGATTTTGGGAGTGAGCTCTGAGATCGGTACTAACAAACCTCGAGCACGAAGGTAGCTCGAGGAGGCGGCTCGATAATCCTATCGAGCCCGTGACCGAATNNNGAATGAGATTTTGGGAGTGAGCTCTGAGGTCGGTACTAACGAACCTCGAGCCCGAAGGTCGCTCGAGGAGGCGGCTCGATAATCCTATCGAGCCCGTGACCGAATCGATCCGCAAGGCACTGCTTCGAGGTCGGAAATGCGCGACGTCCATCTCGAAGGTCTAACTCGATCCAAGACCGAAGGGCCCGACCCAGTAACGAGTTCGAGCTAGTATCGAGCTCACAGACAAGAGCTGTTGCAACCACACCAAGAGAGAGAATCTTGGCGGGAATCAAGGAAGAGACAAGTCATCATGGGCCTTCCACTATATGTTTTATTTTATTATTTTTGTAATGACCCTCTTCTATAAAAGGGAAAATCCTTGTAAGCTATGGGATGCCGGAAAAAGATCATTTCTTATATTGATAGTTATCCCCTTGTGCTTGTTTTACTTATTCATTCTTTTTGCTTATTATTTTCATTCTTACAGCAAACAATACACATATTTTTATTTCTCTACGCGATTTATATCGAATTGTATCGCATATCCTTAGAACCATCCACAAATCTAACGTTATCCGATTTTTCCGGTAAACATAGTGATATGTGAATTGTCCACTAGTATTTCACTATCCTTGTTAGCAGATATTACAATTCAGACTAATAGCCTGTTTGGCCAAACCGGAGAAATCAACTTATTTTAAGAAGTGCTTTTGAAAAAAGTACTTTCGAAGCTCTGAAAAACACTTTTGAGCAATAATTTGTGTTTGGCCAAGCTTTTTAGAAAGTGTTTTTAAGTATCAAATTCCGAATAAGTAAATAAATAATTTTAAAAATTTATTATTATAATCAA